TAACTAAGTATCTATATTGCATATTCAAAAATTTTACCTGTCCAAATCAATGCAATGATGCGACGCGGACGTGGAGGACGGGATCGACGGCGAGGTCGCGGCGCGCTGAGAGCAAGGGCCGTGTCACGGCCGAGGTCATCGGAGGGAGCGCCTATGCGGACGGCGGACGCGCGCCAGCCAGACGAGACGGCGCATAAGCGGAGGGCGGCGGCGCGGGCGCGGCGGACGGCGGGGCGCCTCACGCGCGCAGAGGCGAGGCAGCTAAGCTGGTGGGGCCATGACAGCCGGCAAGACGGGCGAAGGGGGCCGACGCGGGCGCTGGTGGATGCGGCCTTGACGCTGGAAGCGCTGAACAGTGGGCGGTGATGCGCTGCTGGCGAAGGCGATGAGACGAAGCGCTTCTGTGGCGCACGGTGGTTCGGGGAGCGGGAGAGAGAGGAAGAGAGAAAGGAAGGGAGGGCCCATACGTAAGACAGGGATTGACGCCAATAACCACGGCGCCGAGCTCGGGGCCAGGATCTACGGCATCAAGCTGCCTGCCAAGTCACCGTCACGTCTGCGTCGAGCCCAAGACCTAGGCGCTAGAATTTATGGTGCCGAGACGTGTAAGCTTGGTGCCACCAACGATGGTGCCGAGTTAAGGCCCAGATTTTGAAATCATACCTCTAAAGACATATTTGTGAAAAATTAAAAAAAAAAAAAAAAAAAAAAAAAAAAAAATCGGCTCGCTTGCTCGTTTTTTTTTTCCTGAGATGCGTCGCGCCGCGGTGGCCAAAGGCCAAAGCCCCAAAGCCAAAGGGCACCAGGGGCTTCAACGAATGAATGCACAGGGGCTAGACGGCCGGCCTCGCGCGGACGGCCGCGGAGAGTGGCCGCCTTTCGGCCCCCGGGCGCACGCATTTCCGTCCGTTGGCCCCGGTTTTTTGCCTTCCTATAAGCGATGCGGACCGACGGCCGGGTCGCCTTGTCGCCGTCACCGTCGCCGTCGTCGTCATCAATTTTTGCTGCAGCGGTCGTCAGTGCCGCCTGGTTGTAAATCACCGGATCTTTTGAGCCTAGTTAGTCCATGATCGAACAAAGTTTACTTGTCCTTGTTGCAAAAATTTACAATCACAGACGACCCTGCCACCACAGACGACCCTGGGGTTTTGGTGCCTTGCCTTTGTTTCTCTCTGGGGCTGTCTCAGCTCGGTGGGCATAAAGCGTAGCGTAGGTGCGTAGGTGCGCTGAAAGGGAGGTTCAGACTTCAGAGGTACCTGCTGCATCTATAGGCTGCTAAACAACAAGTTTCTTTTTAATAGTAATAGAAGATAAACAATGATTAGTGCGTGTGGAAGCTAATGCCGTCGGTCGAGCGGGGCGAACCTGGTAGAAGTTTAGCATATCATGTAGATGTGGAAGTGTTATCCCACACATATATGTATTTGGAGATGGAGAGTGTGGCCGTCCATTTTAGTTTACACCGATTAGTTGAGTTTTACATACCTTTCGGACGTCGTCTGCCGTCCACACGATCTCTACCGATCGCACGGCACATTTAAATGTCGCTACGGAAGGGCTTTCCCTTCTAATTTAGGACTGCACACGTAGCCTAGTGACAAGGATTGAAGCTAAAATGAGCTGCATAGCTCATACATCATGCTGCATCTGCATCTTTCACTGAAAAATACTGATGTTGGAGTACTAATTATTACTCCCTCTCTTTCCACTGAAAAGAGTTACGAACTTGACCCAAAGCTCTGAACCATGACCAACATGAGTCACTCCCTTGACATTTTCCTGGACAGGGAGGAAACTAGATGATTTGAGACGATGATGGCAACAGAGGAATTATAGAAGGCAGCTGGTAGGATGCCCTGAATGAACTCTCAAGAAAGCATTGCTGGTAGGAGCGGATCAAGCTAGAGGCCATCGAAGCCAGGTCCAGCTCAGCGCTTATCCCCGGGAACCGCGGTGGGGTCTGCACTAGTGGCGTGAAATTAACCCGGGGATACTTCCGACGGGACCAGGAGTGGTACGTGTTAGACGAGGCGGCGTTCGCGGCCACCGTGCTGCCCCACGGGAACAAGCCAACAAGGCAAGGGGATGCATGGTCCACAGGTCGGCCATCAGCTGATCAGACTGCAGGTGAAGTGGATTTTGCGGTTTTATTAAGGCCTTGTTTAGTTGGCGATTTTTTTTTAAAAAATAGTATTGTAGCACTTTCGTTGTTATTTAGCAATTAGTGTTCAATCATAGTCTAATTAGTCTTAAAAAATTCGTCTCGTAAATTTCGTCTAAACTGTGTAATTAGTTTTTTTTTTATTTATATTTAATGCTTCATACATGCGTCCAAAGATTCGATGTGATGGGAAATCTTGAAAAATTTTGCAGGCAACTTGGAATTGATGCCCTGGAACTTGATCCTTAATCCCCTCTCCCCCTCTTCTTTTTCTAGATGGTCCATGAAATGGTTTTCTTTGTAAGAATTGATGGCCGTGAAACGATGAAGCTTGGAATTTGCAAGCCTAGTCGACACGAATTTGCGCATGAATCCATAGAGTTGGTGGCAGGTTGCGTCAGGTTGGATTTATAACGAGAAGAAGGTCCCAAACTAGCCAACCGATTTCTGAATACATGAGCTCAGCAACGTGCAAAGTGCGGAGGATAAATTAAACCTAAGATTGGGAGGTTAGATAATATAAGTCTGAATCTGAATACATAATGGCCATAAAGTCAAGCTGGCATTGACGGGAATCCACTTTACCTTTTTTTTAGCAAAGGGAATCCACTTTAGCTGCACAGCCTAAATTCTCGACGCTAACCTCGGCTGCTATTGGGTACCAGAAAGTTCTCTTTGCCTAGTGCCCAACTCGACTTCCCAAAGGCCGAAGCTTTCGGGCTTGAAGAAGAAGCCCAGTACCCGGGGCGGGCGGGCGTTAAAGAAGAAGCCCACAACCACATCATAGTCTTGCACTGCAAGCCCACTGCAAGTTTGTTAATCTGTAGCTGTACAGCGTATGCGGGTGCAGCATCCTCAGCCCTCACCCATCTCGTGCCTGCAATTAATCGGCTTACAGCCTCACACAAACGCCCAATCCTGATGCGATCGTGCTAAGCCTTTAGCTGAGCTGACCCCCATGACATGACGCCCCCTCTCTCATGCACTGTGCCTGGCTGCCGGCTACACGCAGAGTAACTGTATAAGCCTATCAGAAACTAATTAAGCAACTAATTAGCTGGTGCATTTGTGATAATGAGGGGGGGAGAAGACGAGCCTCTCATGCCTCCCGCTTTCCCTTTACACCAGGGAATCACAAGTGGGGGAAAACAACACCTCAAATCATGTTCTCAGAGAGGAGATACATCAGCTGCCATCATCACGGCCAGCCTCTTCAGTTCACAAGCTGAGCCTGTTGGTTCCATGTCCCCGTCGCCTTTATCTTCTTTTCTCTCGGCTCACATGCCAAGGACCATCCCGTGCCGTGCCGCCGTGAATTCATTTCGCGGCTGTGATCACGTTCGCCCTGCCCTCGTCTTCACTCCAGGAAAGGAATGACAAGGCGGTGAAGAAACGAGGGCGGAAAGACATGGACACCGTGACCGTACAGACCACAGCAGACTCTTCTGAACACATCTGTGCCACTCCAATTCAGGTGGTGAAACCGTGAAGGCGCTAGTCAACTTGAAAGAAGCTTTCAAAGAACACTGAACCTCCCTGCAAGTTGCAAAGAGGGTCTGCTAGGTTTGCTTTGATTTTCACCTGAGACATGAAGCCGGCAACATATCTCAGACTTGGCAATCATTTTTGGTCAATCATGAGGTGAGGAAGAAAGGCCTTTAATGTTGTGCAAATCTAGTTTTTCAAGGCATTGTAGCCAGATTGGCCTTGTTTGCACTGCATTCTACTCCTGCCTCTATTTATCAAAAAAGGATTAGGATATTGTGAACGCAAACATAGACAACACAGATTCCAACGGGTTCAGTTATACAGAGAACAAAGAACCGATAAACAGCTATATCATATAAGCGGCTCTTAAAAGTCAAACCCATAGCCAACAACGACTTGACCAACAAAATCAGCCTGTGACCAAGAAAGGATCACCTAAAATAATGCATTATCAAATGAAGATACGCTGATAGTGGTTGCGGTCCAGTGATATCATGCCGCCTTTGTTGTGGCACCCATTCGCAAGTCAGACTCCAAAAGCAAGTACTAAGTTCATCTGTAGCACCACTTTCTCCTAATATTCTCGAACTTGTGCTCCACTCAAGTTTAAGGACTCATTTTGTGACAGCACGCATCACTTGGTACAAAAGAGATGAAATAAATAAATGAAGAATAGACTGCTCATCAAAGGCACAGCACTCCATGACATACTACATTCCACACAAACAGCAGCATCCATTCTCGTATAGCATATTTAGATGCTTTATGCTTACTAGTTGGGGAATTTTTTTATCTGCTGGTGCTGAAAACCAAACTCGTGTTTGACATGGATGGATACAAGTCAAAAATACTAAGTTCAAGATAGTAGGTAGTTTGGCTAGCTAATTAACTACTAGAAGCAGCGACCTGGTTATTGCTAATAGGACGCCAGGATGGTCACAGAAGTAACTGGAAAGAAGAAAACTACGAATTAAATAAAAGGTGATGGTACCAACACCAAGGTAGAGAAGTCTAGAACTGCTCCTTTCCCAGTTTATCAGAGTACTGGCTGGACAGATGTAAATCTAGCAAAGCTCCATGTTGATCATTGTCCGTTCTTCAAGCCATTTCCTGGAGATTTACAACATTTCAGGTCATTGTCAAAATTCTGCCCTGAGAACAGGTCTATTATTAGACCCACAATACTGAAATACTATATGGTACAACTACATCCTTGATTTGTTTAACATTGCACCAAACTTAGCATACTGCTTACCTTGATCAGATAGGTTCACAGGTCAAAGTCCAAATGCTATAACATAGCAGGACTGTTAATTAGCTGCCACCATCAATGGAATAGGAGACCAAGAATCTAGTTCTTCTTAGGCTTCCATGTAGATATCGCATAGATTATCCTTCCTTTCCAGCCTTGCAGGAGCCACCCACTGTCTTCATCTATGACGAAGTCCTTGTGATAAATGTCTTTTACTTTGTCCTTGGCTTTCATCACAATTTCTTGGTTTAACGGAGACTGAACAAATCCAGCCCTGAGGTTCCTCACCTGCCACTGTTTGTATGTCTCGGGTCTCTCAACTCTGTCTGAGCCCTCACATGCAATAACATTGAGTGCCTCTCGGCCAAACATTTCCCTCTCTATGAGTGCGCGCTGGGGATCATCCCGTGGGACAGTTGTCTCTAGCATGTCAAACAATGCAGAGAAATGGAACAGTGCCTCACGGAAACGTGTGATGAAGAAGGGAACACTGTATGACCCATTCACAATTCCATGGATGAAAATCGCTGGGTTTACTTGCCTTATTGTGTTGAGCACTCTATTCCTAGGACTGTCTACAGCAACTGTTTCATCAATCAGGTTTCTGAATCTGTATAGGCAATTAACAATCACAACTTCGTCCTTGCCAACTTTGAGATCCTCAACTCGGATGGTTTCCCACTTTGATGCTATTCCCTGATACTCAAAAGGCACCTTGAACTTCGCAGCATATTCTGCAAGCCTTCGTCCAGTCTCTTCAATTCTCTCGGAAGGGCGGAAACCTGGCTGAGGTACATCAATTCCAGTGATGCGCAGAACAGGTGGACCGCCTTCCCTCTTGGAGAGACGCCTGATTAGGCATGGCCATTGGAAGCCGAAATAAATGCCGAAGTCAATGATATGCACCTTTGATGCATTTTTAATCATACTCAAGATTGTTTGATTGGAAAGAAAATGTGAAAGCCTCTTGAATGGGCATGCTGCAAGGTAGAGGTGGTAGGCTTTAAGCATGTCTGAGGCAGTTGTACGTTTTGCTATAAGCATACGGTAAAGCTGACTCCCTGTGCCTGCCAAACGAGCCTCAAGACCATCTGCAAAACAATGTGCTAACCTCTGGGATCCATCGCCGTTTGGCTTGGAATGGTGCCTTATTTGCTTTAACAATTCATTAGCAGTTCTGCGGTCATCTGCTGCCACAGCCTGTGCACAGTGGATGAGGATGGTCCTAAGGTCCACCACATCCTTCTTTGTTGGTTTCCTTCCCCGTGGCCGTGGCCCACTTGGTCCTTTCGTCTGAGTGACCTGAGAATTCTTGGAAGCTTCATTGCGCATCAGCTCTCGCAGATCTGTAGCCTTCTTCTCGGTTTGCCGAAGCAGATCATCAAACATCTCAATCCAATCAGGTTCATCGGAACAAAATGCAGACTGTTTAAAGTTCCGGCCTTCCATCAGGTCAAGGTCTTCACTCTGTCTGTTTTTCTTGGCCTTCAATACATCTGCCTTTTTGGCATTCAAAGAAACATCTTTCCTTGCTTCTTGAGGTCTTGCGACACCACCAGCTTCTAAATCAATCACTAGTGTATTGTTATCAGGAAGAAACTTCTGGGCTTCCTCAATGCCTCTCCTGAAATCCCAAGTTGGAAGGCTCTCAAACAAATACTCAGGGATCTGGCCATTCGTGATCAAAGGGTCTTCTAGCACATCCACTGCATTGGAAGCATCAGTTGATGTACCAACAAGCGGCTGAGAAGACTGACCACACAAGCCTCGATAAGCTTCCAACTGCTCACTGCGTCCAACGTCGTAGCGCCAGTTGCTATCCACTGTGCCACCAATGCTGCTGCTAGTGACAGTACTTGCCACAGATTGTGTACAAATGCTACTGCTACTCTCACTGGGGCTGTCCATGGACCAAGGGATCGGCTGGTGATCAGGAGACGGTGGAAACTTGTGCCCAAGAATGTCATAGAACGGCTTTGCAGCAGCACGCAGTGCCACCGACTCCGCCTGGTACATGCTGACTTTCTCATCGATATCCTCCTCCATGAGCATCCGGCTAATATAGTTGAGGGACTCATCTGAGATGAATTCCCAATCCTCCGGGTTGTCAGTTTCAGTGTTGGCCCTTGACACAGTGGAGGAAGGATTTGAACAGGCTTCTGCTGCCATCTGGGGCACAACTGCAGGAAGTGGATCGGTGAACCTGAAATAATCACTTGCGCTGCTGTGGTCTGCGTAGCCATCATAAGACAGGCCTCCACAGAACATGCCAGATAGCTCCCCATACGTATTATCCAGACCCATTGGCAACCTCCTCGCTGGAAGACCTGTTCCATTTCACCTTTTGTAGTCATTAACAAATTTGTCAACTCTAGCTAGGCAAACAAACATAGATCCACACTAATATCGCCTTATTTACAACAACGAATGCTACCAATCCTTAGCAACAGTGATGGATCTTAATTTATAATAAGCATACACTAATTTGTTATCTCACTTTATACCAATATAAGTAAGATAACAACCGACGTGGTTCCTCAATGAGTAAAGAAACAACTGAAGACGCGGATCAACTAGCCTAAAATCATGTGTGGAAGTAATCTAAGATAGAGAAGGCTGATCACAAGAGAGATGGTGAGAAGCTCCCTTGAATAGCATGATCCACGCCACAGCGCATGAGTAAACAAGCAACCAAACAGTGCATGGGTAAAGAAGCAACCAAACAGCAGATCCTCCTCAGTCGTTCCCCCATCCCCTTCTACAAGGCTAAAATTCTAGCAGTCTCGCACAAATTCGGCATGCAACTATCCGCGAGAACCGATCACACACAGCACCTCTCGTTCTCGTCCTCGGACCCTAAAGATCAGGGCACCAGAATCCACCCGAGAAAAGCAGCTTTCCCGTTGCTTCACTTGACCGCTAAAACGAAGCAGGAAAGTAAGACGAGGGGGACAGGGCGAGGCTGACCTTAGCTTGACAGGAAGGGACGCCGCTGACGAAGAGCTAGCAGGCCAGTAACGGCGCCCGGTCCGCGTCGACGGTGCCTCCGCCTGCGCTGGCGCTGGTGGTGGTGGTGGTGCGCCGCCGCCGCTGGTGGTGGTGCTGGGTGTGGGCGATGATGATGTGATGCAGCCTGAGATGGACACGGGCACGGGGGTGGAGGTGGAGCAAATCCGAAAAGAATAATGCGAGGATGGTGTGCTCTGCTGCCGGGCCGGGCCCCCTCTCTCTGAGCGTGCCGGGGGGATTAGAATACCGTGGGCGTCGAACCTTCTCTCGGGGCGCCGTGGCGGGATCCCGGCCGTCGGTCCAGAGGAACGGGACGGGGGGATTAAAGTAGTGGAAATGAACCGCGCGCCCAGGAGCCGAGGAGCGGCGCGGCGGCCCAGTCGCGGCGCGACACCTCGGCGCGTCTCATGGCAGAGGCCGCACGCGCGCGGGGCCCAGCAGATGATCTGCGGCTGCGGAAAACTGGGTTATCTATCGATCTCCTCCTCGTCCTCGCGTGCGAATCCGCGTTCCATATTTCATCTGGCGCGTACGACGAACCACCGGTGCCGCCGCCCGGCACGTTAGCGTCTTATCTCACTAAAAAAGGACAGACCCTGTACCAGCACACGTGCTGGCACACTCCATCTATAGCAACACAGGGACCGGCATTTTTGTTTGTTTATATAATTATATTATTATTTATCTATTATCCTGAAATAAACAGGCGCCCTTCCTGTTCCTGATGCGAGTAGTGATCGCCACAGTGCTCGGCGCTGCAAGTTGCTTGGTACCAGTAGAAGGCGAGGTGAAGTCAGAGACGCAGGGGCAGAAGAAGTGTGGCGCACGAGAACGGATGCTGATTGATGCAATGCAAGCCGCAGTGCGCCTTCCCATGGCGGGGTCTGGGGTGGATACTTTTTTTCGTACGGCGGGGAGGTTGATCCTAGATTAGCGTGGCGTGTCGCGCCTTTTGCTGCCAAGCTTTGAGAGTCGAGACCCACTGTCGGCTGTGGAGTACTGTATGCAGTGCCACTGGGCCTTTTTAGATTGCAAGTTTTTTCACACTTTTTCTATCACATCAAATTTTTGGACACATGCATAGAGTATTAAATGTAGATAAAAAAATAACTAATTACCCAGTTTAATTGTAAATTACGAGACGAATCTTTTAAGCCTAGTTAGGCCATGATTGGACAATAATTATCAAATACAAACGAAGGTGCTACAGTGCCAAATACTGATTCCTAACCCCAATCTAAATAAGGCCTAGATCTCAGTGGCAGTGCACTTTGGACGGTGGGTTTAAGCCAATCGCGGTGAGTGCCCGTTTGCAAAGCGAAAATTTCATAAGAACCGTGCAGAAATTTTATAGAAATCAGTTTAATTTCATAGAAAAAACGTAGGAATAAGAAATATTTCCCTCGTTTCAAACAGGTCCCAAGATTTTATAGGCATCAGCATATTTGAGAACTCTAAGCTTGATTTTGGTAATTAAAACACAATGCTTTCAATTGAGTTGTGATTGAGCTAGGGCCCAGGTGGTGAGTAAGGCTGGGGTATGGCCAAGAGGTGATCAAGCCATGTGGAGCAAGTTCACACTTTGAGATGAGAAGAACAGATGAAAACAAGCCCGAAGGCAAATGTATATGTTAGGGGTTTTCATTTCACCGGCTGAGGCACAATAGAGTGTGTGGTCGGGTTTAGGATAAATAGTCATACTATTAAGAAAAGAACTCTAACGCAAAATGGTTATCCAAGTGCCACTAGATGTGAACTAACTTTGCATATACATTAGACCTAATGACGTGGTGAGATGCAAGTAAAAAATATTTTTTGAAAAGCTAACACAGTGTCTAAGGTGAAGATGGTCATGTGTTGAACATATTGGAGTTAGAGGATTAGAGTTGCTCCCGAGTTTGTGACTTAGTGATGATTTTTCCGCACCACCGAAAAATCCGGTGCCCCTGGCTAGGGGGCACCGAAGAAAGAGGTGCAGTGTGAGGTTTTAACTGTGCAGTAGGGTAATCACCAGAAATGTCGGATGGTACTCCCATTGACCACACTGGAGAAAGTAAGCAAGGTCCTTATGTTCGTAAGATTTGAACTCCATCACCTGAGTTTTGGTGGGTGGTCATCGAAGATTTTTGGGAGATTTCCGGTGACCCCTTCGAGTTCTTGTTGTCGGAACCCGAGAGGGTCCGGGCATCATTAGAAAAGTCCAGTGCGCCACATCAAAGAGGCACCAAAGAAACTGCATTTGAATTCTAACGGCCAGTTGTTGCAGCCTGAGGCACTGGGTAGGCACCGGATTTCTCTGGTGCTTGCACCAAGAGTGGCACTATAAAGCGCTAGGCTAAGGTTTCTAAGATTGATTTGTAGTCATTGGATGTTTGTAACCTAAGGTTCAGTTCATCTTCTCCGGTAATGAGCCTTTCCAACGTCTCTGTAGGGTGTGGCCATCCCTTGGCGTCTCTTGTCCTCCTAACTGAACACACACTCCCTTGAGCTCTTGAAAAACACCTTCCACTTATCTCCTTGCTTGTTGATTGATCTAAAGTGAGATTGGGAGAGATCTAGTGCATTTGTTTTGGTCGATTTGCATCTAGTGTCACTAGTTCACCATTTAAACCTTGGATTTCTTGATACCCTGGGTGCTTATTGCCACCTAGACACCCTGGTGATTGGAGGATCGTTGAGGGACTAGTCGATGATTGTTGGCCACCTCCGTCCAGTGATTTGTAAGGGTCTCTTTGTGCTCACCCTGTGGGAGATCGCGAAGGGCAACTCTAGTGAAAAGCTCGAGCCTAGTTGGCGTGCTCCTTGCTGATTGATTCATTCTTGAGACGCCTACCTTGAGGGTCAAGCTTGAGCGGCTTGTTAGTATGCGAATCATCACATTGAGACTCGCCTCAGCGAGGACGTAGATTGCTGGCAAGCAACTAAACCTAAGGGATAGATTTTGTTGTCACTTCTCCGGTTTGGTTTGCATTTTTACTACACTTGCCCATTTACTTTATTGTTAACTAGCTTGTGTAGTAGTTGCCTACTTGTTAGTCTAGCCCTCTAGTTGTAGTTGTAGTGCTAGTAAGTAGAGTAGCCAGTTGGGGTGGCTTTACTTGTTTAGGACTACTTGAGTAGTTGCTAGCCACTTATATGTGGTTGAGTGCTCTAAGTAGGAATTCATTTTTGTTTAGGAGCCTTGAATTTGGATGAAATAGAGCTAAACAAGTAGTGGCTATTGGACTTGCTTATTATGCTATCTACTCTACTCTAGTGTTTGTTTAATTGTAGAGAATTTTTTTATAGGTTATTCTTCCTTTCTAACCATCTAGATCCTTTAAAAATAGTTGCCAATGGTTTAATCTTTGTTATTGACCACAGTGCTCCCGCGGTTGCATACTCGGAGTCTTGCTAACCTGACCACTCCTTGATGTCTGATTGCTTGTTGAGCTCCACCTTCAGGCTTGTGTCCATGGGCCATGGAAGCTGCAGATCAACGTGCAATCATCCATCGCTGGTGAAATTGTAGGCTGCGCTCGGCGGCGAAGTGTGTCACCGGTGTTGAGGGCGTACGTCGAGTCGGAGCCTGTGGCAGTGGTGGATCTATGGACAGAGAAGCCCGCGTCGCCGTGTCCACCATGTCCCTTCCCAGTCTCAGCACACGCGCACAAAGTCTTGAGCGGAACCGTGCGAAATCAACTTAGATATAGCTTTTAGATCGGTTTTTATATAGGAACATGTGAAAGGCCCTGTAGCCTAGTGCTTCAAACAAAAGAATTTTAGTAACACCTCAGGTCCTGTGTTAGATTCTCCGTGAGAGCGAATATTACATGATTTAACGGCGTTGTGCTTTCAGTGCTAAGCAACATTTCTGTCAACAGTTCACCGTGGTGAGTGTGCATACATTGTGAGCGTCTGTGTTGTTCTCAGAGCTATATATATACTCTCCCTATATATAGAACTATATATATATAAACAATCTAAATGTTGGAGACCAATACTAAGGTACTCGAAGAGGAGGAGCTAATGGTCATCAACATTGATTCATCCGAGCAGTCAAGAGCGCGACTACAGCTCCAACCGCCCCCCAGGTGCGTGGGCTCTGCCTCACCAGACCTCTGGGAAAGGGCTCTGCCTCGTCCGACCCCAAGGTCGTGCGCTCCGCCTTACCCAGCCTTTGGGGAGGGCTTTACCTCACCCAACCCCAAGGCTGCAGGGCAACGCCTCACCCGACTTCTGGGAGAGGGCTCCGCCTCGCCCGACCCCAAGGTCGCAGGCTCTGCCTCGCCCGACCCTTGGGTTTGCGCTCCGCC